TATAAATCGCTGTATTTTTGCAGTTTTGCGGGTTTGTTTCGCCGCTCTCCGAGGCACTTTACCTCCTCAGTCCTCCCTCGAGCCTTGAAGAGCCTTTCCTTCTTTTCCTTAACTTTATCTCAAGTTTGTAAAGACTTAAAATAATGTGTAAAACTAAAATCTATATAAATAAAAATGTAATGTTAGTTTGTGGGATTAACAGAACTCAAAGACTACTGGACGAATTGACACAAAATTTGGACACAAGACACCTAACAACCCAATGTAGGGAAGAAAGGAAGGAGGGAAGGAAAGAAAGAGGGAACGAAGAAAAGAGGGAATGAAGGAAGAAAGAGGGAGGGAACAAAGAGGAAGGAGGGGTAGAGAAGGAAGAAAAGAGAAAGGGAAAAAAAGAGGGAAGGAAGGAAAGAGGGAGGGGAAGAAAGAAGGAAAGAGAGAAGGAAGAGAAGCAAAAAAGAAAAAGGAGAAGGAAGAAGGAAAGAGATGAGAAAAGTAGCAAAGATGTTATGCCAAAGAACAAATCATAAATCTGAAGGTGAGTAAGTGTAGAGAAAAGAAAAAGGGAAAGAGGAAGGAAAAGAGAAAAAGGGGAAGGAAGGAAAGAGGTGGGGAAGAAAGGAAGGAGAGAAGGAAAGAAAAGAGGGAAGGAAGGAAAGAGGAAGCGAAGGAAGAAAAGAGGGAGGGAAGAAAAGAAGGAAAGAGACAAGGGAGGATGGAAGCAAAAAGCAAAGGAAGGAATGCAAGAGGTAGAGAAGGAAGAAAAGAGAGAAAGAGGGAGGGAAGGAGAGAGAGAAAGAAGGATGCAAGCAAAAAGCGAAGGAGGGAGAAAGGGGTAGAGAAGGAAAGGAAGAAGAAAAGAGGGAAGGAAGGAAAGAGGAAGCGAAGGAAGGGAAGAGGGAGGGAAGAAAAGAAAAGAGAGAAGGATGGATGGAAGCAAAAAGCAAAGGAAGGAAGGAAGAGAAGGAAGAAAGAGAGAAGGAAAGAGGAAAAAAGGAAAAGGGAGGGAAGAAGAAAGAAAGAGGATGGAAGCAAAAAACGAAGGAAGGAAGGAAGTAGGGAAGGAAGAAATGAGAGAAAAAAAGAGGAAAAGGGAAGGAAGGAAAGAGGAGAAAGGAAGGGAGAGAGGGAAAGGAAGAGAGAAGGAATGATGGAAGCAAAAAGCAAGGAAGGGAAAGGAAAGAGGTAGAGAAGGAAGAAAGGAGAGAAAAAGGAAGGAAAAAAAAGGGGAAGGAAGGAAGGAGAGAAAGAAAAAGAGTGAAGGAAAGAAAAAGGAAGAAAGAGAAAGGAGGAAGAAAAGGAAAGAGATAAGGAAGGATGGAACAAAAGCAAAGGAAGGAAGAAGAGGAGAGAAGAGAAAAGAAGAGGGAGGGAGGAAAGAGAAGAAGAGGAAGCAAAAAGTGAAGAAGGGAAGGGGAAGAGAAGGAAAAAAGAGAGAAGAAAGAAGGAAGGAAGAAGAGGGAGGAGGGAAGAAAAGAAGAAAAGAGAAGGAAGATGGAAGCAAAAAGCAAAGGAAGGAACACAAGATAGAAAAGGAAGAAAGGAGAGAAGGAAAAAGAAGGAAGGAAAGAGGTAGCGAAGGAAGGAAGAAGGAAAAGAAGAGAGGGAAGGAAAGAGGTAGGGAAAAAATGAAGGAGAGAAGGAAAGAAAAGAGGGAAGGAAGGAAAGAGGGAGGGAAGAAAAAAAGGAAAGAGAGAAGGAAGGATGGAAGCAAAAAGCAAAGGAAGGAACGCAAGAGGTAGAGAAGGAAGAAAGGAGAGAAGGAAAAAAAGAGGGAAGGAAGGAAAGGGAGGGAAGAAGGAAAGAGAAGGAAGGATGAAAGCAAAGGAGGGAAGGAAAGGGGTAAGGAGGAGAGAAAGAAGAAAGAAAGGGAGAAGGAAAAGGAGAGAAGGAAAGAAGAAAATGGAAGGAAGAAAGGAACGAGGGAGCAAAGGAAGGAGGGAAAGAGAGAGGGAAGGTTGAGCATGGCAGGTACAGCTAGTTTAGTATAATACCAAGGTTGAGAGCGCGCACTGCATGATACTAAACAGTCGGGCGGCATCGAGGAGAAAATACGCTATATTTAGCTGCCCTCCTTGACCGGGAAACTTGGCACTCGCAGCCACGTTTTTCCTTTCCAAGCAGAAGGAGCCTTTCCCCAATTGCGAGGCCGGGCTCTCGAGAAGCAGCTCGGAATGCGATTCCTTCCTGGCCAAAAGGAATGGGCAGGACCAGGAGCAAAAGGCAGCGGATTCCGGGAAATGTTTCGCACAGAGAAAAGGAGGAGTGCTTCTGCAAAAAGGCCCAAATAAGTTGGTTTTCAAGATGGAAAAAGATGAGGATATACAGTCCACATATATCACGGAGCTTACTTCCTCTTACAGGGGAAACAAGCTGATTCCTAACCCATCTACGCTGACGATCATGCCATCACCACCCAAGCAGGGAGCTTTGAAATGGCCGAATAGAAGCTCTCCGAAGCTTTAGGTGCTCTTACTGCCTCTTACAGGGAAAACCAGCTGATTCCTAACCCATTTACGCTGACGATCATGCCATCACCACTCAAGCAGGGAGTTTTGAAATGGTGGGACAGAAGGTCTCCAAAACTTTAGGTGCTCTTACTGCCTATTACAGGGGAAACCGGCTTGCTCCATCCATGTTTAACATTTACACCAATGACCAGCCACTGCCAGAAGGAAGAGAAAGTTCTATCTATGCTGACAATTGTGCCATCACCGCTCAAGCAGGAAGCTTTGAAAAGCTCTTACTGCACATTACTGGGAAAATCAGTTGATTCCAAATCCATGACACTGTAAATCATGACCTTCTCCTGAAAAAAAAAATGTACAATATCACAAAGGACGACCACCTCACCCATTTCATAGGAAATCTGCTACAAAACAGGAGCTTTTTTGTTGAGTTCCAGGGTCAGAGAAGCAGATGGCGGAAACAGAAGAACGGCCTGCCTCAGGGGAGCGTGCTTTCTCCATCCATGTTCAACATCTACACAAATGACCAGCCACTGCCAGAAGGGACAGAGAATTTAATCTATGCTATGGTGCTCTTACTGCCTCTTACAGGGAAAACCAGCTGATTCCTAACCCATCTACGCTGACGATCATGCCATCACCACTCAAGCAGGGAGATTTGAAATGGTTGAACAGAAGCTCTCCAAAGCTTTAGGTGCTCTTACTGCCTATTACAGGGAAAACCAGCTTGCTCTATCCATGTTTAACATCTACACAAATGAGCAGCCACTGCCAGAAGGGATAGAGAATTTAATCTATGCTAACGATCATGCCATCACCGCTCAAGCAGGGAGCTTTGAAATGGCTGAAACGAAGCTCTCTGAAGCTTTAGGTGCTCTTACTGCCTCTTACAGGGAAAACCAGCTGATTCCCCATCCATCTATGCTGAGGATCATGCCATCACCACCCAAGCAGGGAGCTTTGAAATGGCTGAAAAGAAGCTCTCTGAAGCTTTGGGTGCTCTTACTGCCTCTTACAGGGAAAAACAGTTGATTCCTAATCCATCTACGCTGACGATCATGCCATCACCACTCAAGAAGGGAGTTTTGAAATGGTCGAACAGAAGCTTTCTGAAGCTTTAGGTGCTCTTACTGCCTCTTAAAGGGAAAACCAGCTGATTCCTAATTTATCTACGCTGATGATCATGCCATCACCACCCAAGCAGGGTGCTTTGAAATGGTTGGACAGAAGCTCTCCGAAGGTTTAGGTGCTCTTACTGCCACTAACAGGGAAAACCAGCTTGCTCCATCAACGTTCAACATTTACACAAACAGCCACTGCCAGATGGGACAGAGAGATTCATCTACGCTGACGATCATGCCATCACCGCTCAAGCAGGGAGCTTTGAAATGGCTGAACAGAAGCTCTCCGAAGCTTTAGGTGCTCTTACTGCCTTACAGGGAAAACCAGCTGATTCCTCATCTATCTACGCTGACGATCATGCCATCACCGCTTAAGCAGGGAGCTTTGAAATGGCTGAAATGAAGCTCTCCGAAGCTTTAGGTGCTCTTACTGCCTCTTACAGGGAAAACCAGCTGATTCCTCATCCATCTACGCTGACGATCATGCCATCACCGCTCAAGCAGGGATCTTTGAAATGGCTGAAAAGAAGCTCTCCGAAGCTTCAGGTACTCTTACTGCCTCTTACAGGGGAAACCAGCTGATTCCTAATCTATCTACGCTGACGATCATGCCATCGCCACCCAAGCAAGGAGCTTTGAAATGGTTGAATAGAAGCTCTCCAAAGCTTTAGGTGCTCTTACTGCCTTTAACAGGGAAAACCAGCTTGCTCCATCAATGTTCAACATTTACACAAACAGCCACTGCCAGATGGGACAGGGAGATTCATCTATGCTGATGATCATGCCATCACCACTCAAGGAGGGAGCTTTGAAATGGCAGAAAAGAAGCTCTCTGAAGCTTTAGGTGCGCTTACTGCCTCTTACAGGGAAAACCAGCTGATTCCTCATCCATCTACACTGATGATCATGCCATCACCACTCAAGCAGGGAGCTTTGAAATGGCTGAAAAGAAGCTCTCCGAAGCTTTAGGTGCTCTTACTGCCTCTTACAGGGAAAACCAGCTGATTCCTCATCCATTTATGCTGATGATCATGCCATCACCACCCAAACAGGGAGCTTTGAAATGGTTAGACAGGAGCTCTCTGAAGTTTAAGGTGCTCTTACTGCTTATTACAGGGCAAACCAGCTGATTCCTAACCCATTTAAAATGCAGATGTATGGTTTTCATATTTAAAAAATGTATAATATCACAAAGGATTGCCACCTCACCCGCTTATTGGAAATCTGCTACAAAACAGGAGCTTTTTTGTTGAGTTCCAGGGTCAGAGAAATAGATGACAACAGAAGATCAGCCTTCCTCAAGGGAATGTACTTGCTCCATATCCATGCTTAACGTTTACAGCAACCCAGTGTGTATAATGGTAATTGAGATGAAGTTATTATGTACACAAGTCATGCAAAATGTGAGAAGTACCTCTGCTTATCCGTTGCTTCTCTCCCGATAGGATCCCAGGTGTGTCAATTATGCTGATGCTGTCCAAGACGGGGTTGGGGAGCTGGGCACACATGAACCTGTAAATGGGGAAAGATAGAGGGGTGAATGTTCTGTCTCAACCCACACGTCTCGCAGAATTTGGATTTCTTTTCAGAAGGAGGTCTTTGTGTACCAAGATCTGCATCTTCTGCTTTTTCACAACGCTTCCCTTCCAGTCAAGAGAAAGGAAGTGGCAAAATTCCCCAGAAAGCTGGATCATGCCAGGCAGGGAAAAATGGGCAACCGAGACCATCCCTTTAAGCAACTGAAAGGGGACTTTCCTGGACCAATTCATCTCATGGATGGAGCCAACCCTGCCCAGTGGTGGCTCCAAGAGTGGATTTGGTGAAGCCAAGACACTCCTCCTGAAGTTAATAATAGTAAATAAAGGTAAAGGTTGTCTCCTGACATTAAGTCCAGTCATGTCCGACTCGGGGGGGGGGGGTGCTCATCTCCATTTGTAAGCCGAAGAGCCGGCGTTGTCCATAGACACTTCCAAGGTCATGTGGCTGGCATGACTACATGAGAGCAGTATAATAATAATAATAATAATAAAGTAATACTATTATAATATATATAAATAATATAATACAGCAATAAAGGAAAGAGAGAAGGAAGAAAGACAAAAGGGAAGGAATGGAAGGAAGGAGGGAAGGAGGAAGGAAGGAAGGAAGGAGGAAGGAAGAAGGAAGGAAGGAAGGGATGGAGGAAGGAAAGAGATAAAGAGGAAGAGGAAGGAAGAAAGAAAAAGGGAGAAGAAGAAAGAGGAGAGAGGAGGGAAGGAGAAAGGGTGGAAAGAGGAAGGAAGGATGGAAGGGAATGGAGGAAGAGAGGAAGGAAAAGAGGAAAGAAAGAACAAAAGAGAAGGAAGAATGAAAGGAAAGGATAAAGGAAAGAGAGAAGGAAGAAAAGACAAAAGGGAAGGAAGAAGCAAGGGAGAGAGGGAAGGAAGGATGAAAGGGAAGGATGGAAAGAGAAAGGCAAAAGGTAGGGAAGGGTGGGTGGAAGGAAGGAAGGGAAGGAGGAAGGAAAGAGAGAAAGGAGGGAAGGAAAGAAAGACAAAAGGGAAGGAAGGAGAAAGAGGGAGGTAAGAGAAAGAAGGAAAGACAAAATGGAAAGATGAAGAAAGAGAGAGAGGGAAGGAAGGATGAAAGGGTGGAAGAGAAGGATGGAAAGAGAAGGAAAAGGGAGGAAGAGGGGAGGGAAGGAAGGAAAGGAGGAAGGAAAGAGAGAAAGGAAAGAGGAAGAAAAAGAAAGGAAGGAAAGGATGAAAGGGAAGGAGGAAGGAAAGAGAGAAGGAAGGAAGAGAAGGATGGAGGAGGAAGGGAAGGATAAAGGAAAGAGAGAAGAAGAAAAAAAAACAAAAGGGAAGAAGGAAGGAGAAAGAGGGAGAGAGGGGGGAAGGAGAAGGGTGGAAGAGAGGAGGAGGAGGAAGGAAAGAGAGGAAGGAGGGAGAGGGAAGGAAAGACAAAAGGGAAGGAAGGGAGGAAGAGAAAGATGGATGGAAGGAAGAGAAGGATACAGGAAAGAGAGAAGGAAGAAAAGACAAAAAGGAAGGAAGGAAAGAGAACAGAGAGAGGGAAGGAGAAAAAAGAGGGATGGAAGTAGGATAAGAGAGGAGGGCCTGCAAAAACTGTCCAAGGGGCCACATCCATACATATTCACGGCTGAATTTACACTTAAATCCTCCTATAAGTTCAGCACTTATTAACCCTCCTTCTGGTCTCACCAGGAGAAACTTTGCAAGCTCTTGAATGTCATCCGTGACAGCAGAGCAAACAATGGTCAGCACTACGTGTGTCACGCGGTGTGCTTTCAAAGCCCCTTCGGATGCCAAGGGGAACCCAATGGGAACATGCTCAGCCCATGGAAAGATGCAACTTTGTGAATGCGACAACTGGGGCCAAGATAGAAAGGTGAAACGGAAAAGAGAAAGCGAAATCGGTTCGTTCTGGCGTCAGAGGCCAATTCTAAAGCACCACCAGATAACGGTGACCGATTAGAGCTGCACCCAAACTCATAAAAATTCCAGAACTATTATTGTTATTACTATGTTTACCTATTTGTTGGCTTTTTTCTCCCTAGTTTAAAGAGTTTGTCCTATTCAGGACATCTTTAGTAGTAGTAGAAATAAGAACCCACTCCAGCCAAGTTACTTTTTCCACACTCCATCACTTGGAACTTCTTTAGGAAGGAAAAATGGTTAATTAAGGGAGCGGGAGGTACTTTTTCGAATCCTCAAGAGTTGGGGCCAGAAAAAGTAACTTCCAAGGGCTGGAGGGTGTGAAAAAAAGGAACTACCAAGAGCTGGTGGTCTGAAAAAAGTAAGTTCCACCGGATGGGGGTCCTGAAAGTAACTTCCTAGGGCTGGGGATCCTTAAAAAAGTGAGTTCCATGGGAAAAGGGTCCTAAAAAGTAACTTCCAAGAGCTGAAGGTCTAAAGAAAGTAACTTCCATAGGATGGGGGTCCTAAAAAGTAACTCCCATGGGATGGGGGGGGGGTCCTAAAAAGTAACTCCCCTGGGATGAAGGTCTAAAAGAAATAGCTGGGGTCCTAAAAAGTAACTTCCAAGGGCTGGAGATCTTTAAAAAAAAAAGGAGCTTCCAAGAAATATGGTTCTGAAAAAGTAACTTTCAAGGGATGTGGAGTCCTAAAAATATCCAAGGGTGGAAGGTCCTAAAAAGTAACTTCCAAGGGCTGGACGTCTATAAAAAGTAACTTCCAGTGGATGAGGGGGTTCTAAATATAACTTCCATGGGATAGGAGTCCTAAAAAGTAACTTCTGAGGGCTGAATGTCTAAACAAAGTAACTCCCATGGGAGTGGGGGGTCCTATAAAGTAACTTCCATGGGATAGGAGTCCTAAAAAGTAACTTCCAAGGGCTGGAGGGCTGAAAAAAGTATCTCACACGGCCTGGAGATCTAAAAAAGTAGAAATAGCTGGGGATCCTAAAAAGTAACTTCCAAGGGCTGGAGATCTTTAAAAAGTAACTTTCATGGGATGGGGTGTCCTAAAAAATAACTTCCATGGGATAGGAGTCCTAAAAAGTAACTTCCAAGGGCTGAAGGTCTTTAAAAAGTAACTTCCATGGGACAGAGGTCTCAAAAAGTAACTTCCATAAGCTGGAAGTCTGATAAAAGTATCTCCCATGGGCTGGAGATCTAAAAAAAGTAGATTCTAAGGAATGGGGGTCCTAAAAAGTAACTTCTAAGAGATGGGGTTCCTAAAAAGTAACTTCCAAGAGCTGGAAGTCTGATAAAAGTATCTCCCATGGGCTGGAGGTCTAAAAAAAGTAACTTCCATGGGATAGGAGGTCTATAAAAAGTAGATTCCAAGGAATGGGAGTCCTAAAAAGGAACTTCCAAGAGATGGGGTTCCTAAAAAGTAACTTCCAAGAGATGGAGATCTGAAAAAAGTAACTTCCAAGGGCTGGAGATCTAAAAAAGGAGCTTCCAAGAGATGGGGGCCCTAAAAAGTAACTTCCAAGGAATGGGGTTCCTAAAAAGTAACTTTCAAGAGCTGGAAGTCTGATAAAAGTATCTCCCATGGGCTGGAGGTCTAAAAAAAGTAACTTCCAAGAGATGGYGTTCCTAAAAAGTAACTTCRAAYAGATGGGGTTCCTAAAAAGTAACTTCCAAGAGATGGGGTTCCTAAAAAGTAACTTCCAAGAGCTGGAAGTCTGATAAAAAAAGTATCTCCCATGGGCTGGAGATCTTTAAAAAGTAGATTCCAAGGAATGGGGGGGGGGGGTCCTAAAAAGTAACTTCRAAGYGCTGGAAGTCTGATAAAAAAAGTATCTCCCATGGGCTGGYGYTCTWWAAAYAGTAYKTTCCAAGGAATGGGGGGGMGGGMTCCTAAAAAGTAACTTCRAWGYGCTGGAAGTCTGAWAAAASTATCTCCCATGGGCTGGGGGTCTAAAAAYAGTAACTTCCAAGGAATGGGGGGGTTCCTAAAAAYTAACTTCCAWGAGCTGGAAGTCTGATAAAASTATCTCCCATGGGCTGGAGATCCAAAAAAAGTAACTTCCAAGGAATGGGGGTCCTAAAAAGTAACTTCTAAGAAATGGAGGTCTAAAAAAGTAGCTTCTAAGAGATGGAGGTCTGAAAAAAGGAACTTCCAAGAGATGGAGGTCTGAAAAAGTAACTTTAAGGGCTGGAGGTCTAAAATAGTAACTTCCAAGGGATGGAAGTCTAAAAAAGTAGCTTCTAAGAGATGGATGTCTGAAAAAAGGAACTTCCAAGAGATAGGGGCCCTAAAAAGTAACTACCAAGAGATGGGGGTCTGAAAAAAGGAACTTCCAAGAGATGGGGTTCTGAAAAAGTAACTTCTAAGAGTTGCAGTTCAATGGTATGGGGGTCCTAAAAAGTAATATGCAAGGGGAGAGGCCTAAAAAACTTCCATAGGATAGGAGTCCTAAAAAGTAACTTCCAAGAGATGGTGTTCCTAAAAAGTAACTTCTAAGGGATTTAGGTCTGAAAAAAGTAAACTTCCAATTGCTGGAGGTCTGAAAAAAGTAAACTTCCAAGAGGTGGGGTTCCTAAAAAGTAACTTCCAAGGGATGTGGGGTCCTAAAAAGTAACTTCTAAGGGATGGAGGTCTGCAAAAAGGAACTTCCAAGAGATGGAGGTCTAAAAAAAGTAACTTCTAAGGGCTGGAGGTCTAAAAAAGTAACTTCTATGAGATGGAGGTCTGAAAAAAGGAACTTCCAAGGGATAGGAGTCCTAAAAAGTAACTTCCAAGGGCTGAAGGTATTTAAAAAGTAACTTCCAGGAGCTGAAAGTCTGATAAAAGTATCTCCCATGGGCTGGAGGTCTGAAAAAAGTAGAATGGGGGTCCTAAAAAGTAACTTCCAAGGGCTGGAAGTCTGAAAAAAGTAACTTCCATGAGATAAAGAGGTCTTAAAAAGTAACTTCCATGGGATAGAGGTCTAAAAAAGTAACTTCCATGAGATAAGAGGTCTTAAAAAGTAACTTCCAAGGAATGGGGGTCCTAAAAAGTAACTTCCAAGGGCTGGAGGTCTGAAAAAAGGAACTTCCAAGAGATGGAGGTCTGAAAAGGTCTGACTTCCAAGGGAGTCCTGGGCCACCTTGGGCCTCCTAGGTGTTTTGGACTTCAACTCCCACAAGGCCTAGCGGCCCAGGACCCTTCCAGAGGCAGGGTCCTGGCCCGCTAGGCCTTGTGGGAGTTGAAGTCCAAAACATTGAAAGGCAGGCCCAAGCCTTGTGGGAGTCTCACCTGTTGAGGAAGGCGTTCCCGAAGGCGCCGAGCTTGCGGAAGGGGCGCCGGGGGTCGACGACGAGGGCGTTCCCGGGCACGACGCCCTCGGCCTCCCCGCCCATGACGGCGATGAAGGAGTCTGTGGTGGGCTCGGGCCCGATGCGCATGCCGGGGAAGTCCTGCTCGAGCAGGTGGCGGATGAAGGTGGTCTTCCCGGTGGAGTACTGGCCCACCAGCAGCACCATCGGCTTGCTCTCCCAGTCCGCGCCCTCCAGCGCCGGAGAGTGGAACTCGTGGAAGCGGTACTGCTCCTCCAGCGGGAGCAGCTTCCCCGCGTACAGCTGCCGCAGCCCCTCCGACACCGTGCGGAACAGCTCCGGCTCCTTGCGACGGCGCGCGTCCCGGCTCACCCAGCTGAACATCGTCGAGGCCCCCACTGAGGGAAGGAAACAACCACACACAGTCACTCACTCGCCGGAGCTCCTCCGCCCGCGGCGCCACACGCCTCACTGGACGCACGCCGCCGAGGGACCTGCCTTTTATAGCGGCCACGCCCCCCGACGCTGATTGGCTCCCCCCTCTCCTCAACGTTCTGTCCCCGCCCATTTCTCCACAGCAGTCAAAGCCCCGCCCCTCGATCCAGCATTTTTGAATCCTTACTCACTGCTCTGACTTTCAAGCATGAAAGTCCCCGCCCACTTCTCTGTCGTCTTTCTCCCCGCCCCTTTGCTATAACCGGCTGCTGATTGGCTCCCCTTCTCCTCAACATTTGTCAGAGCCCCGCCCATTGATTTTAAAATCCCCGCCCACTACTCTGACATGCAAGTCCCCGCCTACTTCTCTGAGGTAATTCTCCCCGCCCATTTGCTACAACCGGCTGCTGATTGGCTCCCCTTCTCCTCAACATTTGTCAAATGATTTTAAAATCCCCGCCCACTACTCTGACGTAATTCGCCCCGCCCATTTGCTACAAACGGCTGCTGATTGGCTCCCCTTCTCTTCTGTGTTCTTCAAAGCCACGCCCATTTATCTACATTTTTAAATACCCGCCCACTTCTCTGACGTCATTCCTCTCGCCCAAGGGATGGAAGTTACATGGGAGATAGGAGTCCTAAAAAGTAACTTCCAAGGGGTGGAGGTCTAAAAAAGTAACTTTCATGGGATGGGGAGGGGTCCTAAAAAGTAAATTACATGGGAGATAGGAGACCTAAAAAGTAACTTCCAAGGGCAGGAGGTCTAAAAAAAGTAACTTTTATGGGATGGATGGTCATAAAAAGTAACTTCCATGGGATTAGCATCCTAAACAGTAACTTTCA